CCCCAAAACCCCAAAACCCCAAAACCCCAAAACCCCATTATTGCTTTCGACTATTGAAATTGATGATTTGGGTATCTAAGTAGGATCCTGAATTACCGAGGTATTCCCCAAGTTACCCTTGTTTATTAAACTTTCAGCTTAGTATGCTCGATTTCATCATCAGAGTCACTGAGGAACAACGAATCTCCATCATATTCCTCAGTCTTCACATCATCAGGCTTTTTAGGGATATCCCAAGAGTTAAGGATGTTGTGCTCAGGGGTCATTTCAAGCTTCCCTGTGTATTCTAGAAGGGTTATTAAACAAAGCTCACCTAAGAATTTGACAATATTCTCTGGTGTGAGTCCGCTCTCTTTTGGATTATCATTCTTTCTCCAGTCGAACTGAAGTCTGAGAATCCTATTTCTAATCCTGATCAAATCATGGATTATTTTCTTGAATAATAAGTGGTACTTCCTATTCTTATCATTGAGGTTCTTCATTTTATAGAATATGTTTGGATGAACTCCACAGTAATAGTGGAATCTATCTATTTCATTGTATCATGGCTCCTTAAAAGTCATGTCAAAAGTCTTTCCACTCTGTTTGAACAGGTGCTCGTACTGTTCATAGGAGGCAGAAGATTCCTCCTTAGCAATGTTGAAAAGAACTCTCATACGATCAGGGATTATATTGTCGAGGACCACCTTGAAAGCAGTCTTGATCAATTTCTGCCTGTCGTTGCTGGCAGAACCACCTTGCTTTGAGAGCTCCTTAAGTTTTGAGTCTAACTGAGGTTTGTGCTGTCCAGACTTCATCTTTTGGATCTAAATAGGAGTTAGGAAAAGCCTATTTATGGTTCCGCCTTATAAGTTGGTGGTAATCCTAGGAATGATGACGTATACTAAAGTATAAAATCTGTGGTAAACCTTTTACTTACCAGTTCTTCTCTGCTCAGACTCTGGATAATCTTGAACTCTCCAAAATCTTTCTCGCCACCTATTGCCATAATACTAATCTTGTGTCTATAGTGCTCAACTTGTGTCGTAAGTTTGCTGACGGTCTCTTCTAGTTTTCCTATTTTTGCTTCTAGTTCTTTAGTATATTCTTTATTCTTCCTTCGGTTATTCTTTCAGTATATCTTATTGATCTCTTTCTTCTTGGATTTTGGGCTCAGGTCTGATTCCTGAATTCTCTTCAGTTCTTCTGTAAAGCTGGAGGTTTAAGGAAGACGGCTTACTCGAAGTTCTTGTCGTGGCTTTTCTTAGCTCTCTTCCTTGGCTTAGTAGATGTTGGGCAGGGAATGGGGGATGGAGCGAGTTGGGGCTGGGGAGGAGCTAGAGAAGGGAAATCAAATCTAGGGAAATCGTCTTCGGCGTCAAGAGCTGTGTGAGGGTAAGAGGTGGGCCATGGTGGCATTTCATTAGGGTTCATTTTGTATTTTAATATTATAAACATCACCCAAAATACTCCCAACAGGGGTTTTGGGGTTTTGGGGTTTTGGGGTTTTGGGGTTTTGGGG